GCGAAAAAATTAATATCAAAGGTACTCACAAGAAACTGCTCCAGTCTCGCCAGGTGGAAAAACGAGAAGAACTTCATCTCGAATGCTTTCATCTATACGCGCTTTTTTCTCTGACGGTTCGCCGTTGCCGTTATTTCCTACCCCATTTTCACCATGTTCGCCACTGCTTGACGACGAGGAAGCTTTAGCTCCACATGTCTGAACATCTAATTTACAATTTCTGCGGAAAAGCAGGATCGGTTAGAAACCTCGTCATCATCATCAAGTGCTATGGTTTCTACTTCCTTTCTTAAGCGACTACTGCGCACAGGTCGCTTCAAAGTAGCAAGGGTAGGCTGAGGTGTAGACACAACGCCGGGAATCCTTCCAGGACTACCATGATTTACAATAAGAAGTTGCGTGTTTCCCTTAACTTCGATAGATGAATGAATATGCTTTAAAAACATTGCAACGCATACCTTGGTCTTATCTGGCGTAACTTGTCTTATTAAAGATGCCTGATGACTCGATGGCGCAACTTGGTAGACTACCTGTCCTCGAGGAGAGGCAGTCTGCACAACGACTTGCTGCGTGCGTAGCGGTGTGCCATGGGCGCCAGCAGCCATCACATATTGAGTTTGTGCGTTTGGACTTTGCATTTGCATCACCGTATTTTGCTGAAGTATTTGCCATTGGTCAAAAAGGTTCGCTCTGCATGGAGTTCAAGAAGGTATTTCAGAGTCGCTAGAAAAGGCACTAATACAGAATTTCCCGCAGTCCACTTTGACAATAAAGACACTCCTGCCCTCGTATGCATTGAGATTTTTTGTTATGGAAATCAGTAAACAGGCTGTGTCGAGGCAAGCTTACTGATAAGTAACTTATTAAATGCATTCATAATTTTCATTTCAATGCTACAGCATTAGCAAGAAGAGAGCAAAGATTAGGACAGAAATACTCAAGGCTATCATAACTGCATCCAATTGATTGTCAATGCATGAGGGAAAAAAAGGGGTAGTGAGTGAGTTCAATACTAAGACATATCTAGCATTACACGCATAATGATTACTGCAAAATAAAAATGAAAATGGAAGAAAAAAACCAACGAACCGCGATGACAGGACTAAAATTCCTTCCTTTCATTGGCACTATATGGGACATATTTTGTTTGGCAACACCGACCTAAATGTTTGATACTGTCAGAGTAAGAGGAGCATGTATTTAAAATTAAGTTATCAACTTGAGCAGAATACTTACACTTATATAACGTTGATCATAATGTCCTCCATGCACACTGCTGGCAGCATCGACCATAACAGCCCTAAGCAATACTCACCATATAGAAAAAATACAAAAATAGAGATCGTTTTGCCTTACGGTGACTGTCCATTTTCATATAGTTGTGGATTCACCGATGTGACCCTCCTACCAAACTGAGGCACAGCATCCAATTCTTCAATAGATGACTCTGATTGCGATTTACCAGCCAATCTGGGGATTTCTAAAAGAGTGTATCTTTAAAGAAATTCTCCAGATTACGTAATGTTACGTATTTGACGAAAAACAGAAGGTAAATAACGAACTGATTTTACTTGGATTTACTGGTCGAGGCTCTGGTGGTCTAAAGCGATATGGTGCAGTGTCACAGTCGCTATCTGGATTGATGAACAGATGGATGGTGCGAAGCAACTCCAGCCATTGTTCCGGCGTGTAAGTCACTAAGAGATGAAAAAATGGTGGAATGAACGAAAAATCCAGAAACAAAAACCATGAATGTGATGAATTTTTGGGGAAAAAACTGTTTTCTTAGCAAATCAGTGGTGGAAAATGATAGTATCCTTAATTCTTTTGCTAATTTTAGGTTTGGAAAATATA